AAACAAATATGGTGCCCACAATTAAAAAATATATGATCCTAATTCACTTTGATTTGCCAAACTTGGACAAAATCTATTGGTCGAATAAGGTGGGCTATCGTAAAAAACTAGTACAAATGTTTGGACTTAACTTGCTTTAAGTTGATACATGAGTCAAGAAAAAAGGACAAGTAAGGCAATCCCATGGAGTTTTCTGTGAGATTTCATTCAAGGGCATATGGATGATGATCAGGGGTTAGTGGCCTATGGCTATAGCTTTATATGGATTGGTGATCTTTTCAAGAGTCATCGGGCATGTTGATGTCGCAGTGATAGATTTGTTGATTAGTTAGCATACCAGGTTAATGCAACACCAATTATTTTGGTAGAAACCATTTGTTCTTTGAATTTTTATCGTAGAAGTGATAAAGGTCGATTCAATGAGTGCTTACAGTTGCTTTATGTATGGATGAAGAGTCACATTGAATGTGAAGAAAGTCAGTTCCATAAACCATACATGTATTTTAGTGTCCTAATCAAAGAGTTTTGTTATGGCACATGGCCTTAAGCAAAGTCAAAAGAAGAATGGGTTTCCTATTTCTAGGCCCTTGATAGTTAAAAGGTAGTGTAGAGGGCACCTTGGATGTATCATGATATAGTGTTATACAGTTGTAAGGATTAACCATGGGTGTTTTTATTGGGCCTATGGGGTGCTATTACTTATGTCCCAACTTTGGTGAGAAGATAATCTGGATGTGAGCAGTTCATTCTAGAAACCTATGGACTTAACTAGTGGGAGTTCTCTTTCATTGATAAAAAAGGCATGGAACCAAACTAGCAAGATTAATCAAGGGAGGCTTACTTATGGCGTCACCCCAGAATATAGTGTATGGCATGCAAGGAGGGGTAAGGACATTATGCTTCCTAGTGAACAATAGGTCGTACCTCAAAGCCAATTCTTCAAGATCCTTTACTTAAAACGGAAATGGCTAAAAGAAAGCTTCAATCTGAGAAAAACGAGTTGGAATAAGAAAATAAGCAATTGAAGTAAAAAATGGAGAGTTTAAGGCTTGAAGAACTAAAAATCTAGAGCCTCACAAAGCGAAAAGATTAGTGGAAAGCTTTATTTAATGATTTAGACATGACACATTCATCGGTTACATCTGAACTTGCTTGACTTTTAAAAAAAAATGAATTGTTAAAAGCAAAGATGTGGAGAAGAAACAAAAGGCTACTGCTAGGGCACACAAACATAGCCAAATATGATAAGAAATAGTGGATCGGCACACAGCTCAAGTAAAAGCTTTGTTTAAAAGATACAGGAGACAAGCTAAATAGAGTGAGCTATGAAAAGACATGTGCATGAAAAAACAAATGCATTTAAGGCATTTGTTCAATTAGTTATGCATTGTTACAGATAAAGCTTTAGAAATGGAAGAAAAAATGAAAGATTTAAAGGCTGTGGTGTAACCAGTTAGAGCTCATGGGTGACAATTGCTTAATTTCCTATATAGGGCACAAAATCATTACTAGCAAGCTAGAAAATTTATAAAAAGACATTAGAAATAAATGATGATGTTTAGGACTTTAGAATATTGCTTTGACTTTATTAGGATGTAATTTTGAAATTTTAAATAAAGTTTCAAATAGAGATTTCTTTTATCAATAATGATGATGTGGTAAATATTAGTACATTTCATCCATGCATTTATAAAGCACATAATTTCTAATAATCATATAGTTGTGGTACTCAAGATTCAAGGATAGCTTCATCTAGTAGAAACTCCACTCATCGATGCTACACAAGAGCCTGAGCTAGACAAATAGAATAAGAAAATTTTAACTATCTCGAGAGGATAAAGAAAGCATAAGAAAAGCTTGAAGGGGAATTGAACAGGATTCTCAAAGCTTTGAATAAGCTAAACAACGGAAAGGCAATAGAGGAGAATACCAGCCAATAGAACCATCCATCACAGGAAGTGACTGATCTTCTATACCACTTGGTTTTGGTCCATGTCAAGCCCAATCTACATAAGAGGTTTCACCACAACAATTCATATATCCTAAATATCTTGGAATGCTATCAGCCTTTAACCCAAGGTAGTAACACAGCTATGTGAATCCTGTCTTTAATGAAAAGATAGTAGAACCAATTCAAGTTTTTGATTTGGATGATTTGAAAAAGAAAGAGAAAGAGAAGAAAAAAGTGGTCAAATTTTTAGATGACTTGAAGATTAGCATGCTAGAAGAAAAGTTACGGGCTGTGGAAGGAATTGGTTTTTATGGTTCAGTGGATGTTGCCAGGCTTTGCCTAGTCCCAGATGTGGTTATCCTTCAAAGTTCAAAGTACCAAAGTTTAAGAAATATGATGGTACAAAATGCCCAAAGACTCACATTACCATGCACTATTGAAAAATGACAACCCATGCCCATAAGATAGCCTTATTGGTTTTGCTACTATGTGGTATGTCCCAATGGATAAAACCTGCATCCGATTTTAGAGTGATATGGCCCTTGACTTCATCAGTCAATATTGACATATCATAGATTTTGCCCCTGATTGTTTGTCTTTGCAGAATATGAAAAAAAAGGTAAATGAGTCATTCAAAGAATACGCCTAGAGGTGGAGGGATATAGCTTCTCAAGTGCAACCTCTTCTAACTATAAAAGGAAACCACAATGTTATTTGTTAGTACTCTGAAATCTCCCTATTATGAAAAGATGATAAGGAATGCAACAAAGAATTTCGTCGACATGGTGATCTCGAGTGAAATCATCAAGAGTGCCATCAAGAATGGCAAGTTAGAAGGAGGGGAAACATCCACTAAAAGAGCCTTAAAGAAGAAGGAGACTGAAGCTCAAGCTATGAACTTTGATAGGCAGCAGTTCAAGGGCTATCAACCTTATCCACCATAAGGTTATTTTCCATATTATCCTACTGTGAATAATGCTTTTCCTTACTCATACCAAACAAACCCATAGCCATTTTACCCTCAAACTTATCAACCCTCTTTCAGACCTCAAAATACCATATACAGTCCTAATGCTTAACTTTCTTTGAGACCTTAGAATTGTCTTACTAGCCCAAGGGTGGTTCACGAGAGCAATGAACTACTTGTGAAAAACCTATATTTGATCCAATTCCTATGACATATATAGAATTATATCGAGAGTTTTACAATAATCACTTGATTGCTCCTAATCGAGTAAAGCCACTTAAGCCTCCCTACCTCAAGTGGTATGATCTTACAGCCCATTGTGACTATCATTATAGGATTGTTGGACATTCCACTGAGAATTGCACTACCTTGAAATTCAAATTACAATGATTGATCAAAGATAGAATGATCAATTTTGATACAGGGGGTAATCATACCAAATGTTAGTGGCAATCTTTGCCTAACCACAATGTGAATGCTTTAAGTGAGGAGCGAGATCATCAACTAAAAAAAAAAATGGCAAAAATCAAGACACCTATCAGCCAGCTATTTGATGCTTTATGAAAGGCTGATATGATCCAGCTACTGAGTCCATATACTTATCATGGGGCATATGTAGCAGGTGAAATCTATAAGTATCATAGTGAGGCATATGGCCATTTTATCGAAGCTTATGAGTAATTTCGCCAGAAAGTGCAAAAACTCATATTTTTTCAGATTGAATTCTATGAAGAATTTGAAGGTTCAAAGAATGATGAAGTGTTTATGACTGGCCAGCCATTAAAATTATTTCTAAGGCCGTTAGCAATTTACTGTGGGGATAAGCCAAAATCAACCATAGAAAAGTTCGCTCCTAGGCTGGTAACTTTTAAAGTCCCTGCTTCATTCCCTTATAAGAGTAATAAAGCTATGCCATGGAAATATGGCTATAATATGATAATCTAGGGTAAGAAGAGAATGATTCTGAGCCTGATGTCATTAATATAACTGGTGTAGGGGGCATTAACTGAAGTGGAAGATGCTATACTCTAAAAATGTTAAAAAAGACTAGAAAAAAAAAGGCCAAGGTTGGCGAAGAATGAAATAACCCAGAAATGGTACCTAAAGAGGATTATCTAAAACGGGTGTAAAAAATGAGGCTTGTGAATTCTTAAAGCTGATAAAACATAGTGAATACTCAGTGATGGAATAATTAAATAAGATGCCTGTATGAATCTCATTGTTAGCATTACTATTAAATTTAGAACCATATCAGAATACTTTACTGAAAGTGCTGAACCAGGCATATGTGGCACATAATGTGTCTGTTAAATATGTGAATCACTTAGTTGGAAACCTGGTCATGTCAAATTACATTTCATTTAGTGATGATGAAATTTCTCTGAAATAAAGGTGAAGCACTAAAGCTCTATATATCACTATCAAGTGCAAGAGCCATATTATAGCCAAGGTCCTCATCGACAATGGCTCTGCTATTAACATCATGCCTATGACAACTCTAGCAAGGCTACCTGTTGATTACTCATATATGAAGGATAGCTAAATGGTTGTCCAAGCTTTCAATGAGACCTGGTGAGACATCCTAGGAGATATAGAGATGCCCTTACAAATTGGGCCATACACTTTCAATATGAAATTTCAAGTAATGGATATTTCCCCATCTTATAGCTATTTGGTGGAAAGGTCATAGATTCATATGGTAGGGGCTGTCCCTTTTAACCTGCACTAAAAGATCAAGTTTAATGTGGAGGGTCAGTTGGTGGTAGTGTTTGGGGAAGAAAACATGTTGGTAACCTAGTCGTTGAATGCTTCATATGTGGAAGCTACTGAAAAAGTGATGGAATATTCTTACCAATCTTTTGAATTAGTCAATTATATAGGTGAAGGACCTAAAAGCCAACAATTCTCAAAGATAGTGATATGTCAGGTCATCAATAAAAGCTGGTATCTTGGCGTAGGACTGGGCAAAAACTTACAAGGTATAAAGGAGCCTTCGATAATGATGCACAACAGTGATAGGTTGGATCTCGATTATGAAACAAAAGATAGGAAAATTAGGGAAGACAAGCCAACAAGATAGCAATGATCATCCTATACTTGTATGAAACCTTCAGACCTGAAGGGTTCATGTACCCAACTGTGGAAAATGACTTAGAACAAAGCATAGATAAGGCTTTTGTTGAGTTGTCTATTCATGCGATTGAAGATGAAAGTGGGTATGAGAAGGAAACATGGTTTGTCCTTGTTCGTCAGATTACGAGTTGAACAATTTGAGCATTATTGAAATACTTACTATCCTTGATACCGATTTAACATAATTAAACATCCCAATAGCTTATGCCCAAGGCATTGGGGTGGTCTTTCTTGTTTAGGCCATTTATCTAATGTTATTTTAATAAAATTAGGAAGGATTTATTTTCACTCATTTTTTCTAGTACTTTCATTTTTTTTCTTTTTTCTTTTTCCATTTTCCACATACATTTCACCAACATATCCCATTTCATTCAATTTCAGGTTCTTAAATGAACAGGAAAATAATCATGATAACGATCAAGGGGTTAATTTTGAAAAATCAATTAACACCAATGCACTTGATAATGAAGATGATTCCAAAGAATATGTTATCCCTCTGAACTTAATGAGATCTATTGAGTGAGAAAGTAAACTAATTGAGCTTTATTAGGAGACAACTAAATTGTTGAATTTAAGAGATGAGGAGAATAAGAAGGAGATTAAAATTGACCTGTCACTCTCGTCGATAGACAGGCAATGATTGAAAAATCTACTTCGAGAATTCGTAGATGTGTTTGCTTGGTCTTATCAGGATATGCCTGGGCTCAGTACAAAAATAATAGAGCATGGATTGCCCTTGAAGCCAGAATGTAAACTAGTCCAATAGAAATTGAGGTAAATGAAGCTTAAAATGCTATTAAAACTCAAAGAGGAGGTGAAGAAGCAGTTTGATGTAGGTTTTTTACAAGTGGCCATGTATCCAGAATGGGTGGCCAACATTATACCAATATTTAAAAAAGATGGAAAGGTGCAGATATGTGTAGATTATCACGATTTGAATATGGCTAGCCCAAAGGATAACTTTTCTTTACCTCATATTTACACCCTAGTAGACAATATGGCCAAGCATTCTGTGTTTTCCTTTATGGATCGGTTCTTAGGGTATGACCAAATAAATATGGTTAAAGACAACATGAAAAAAACCACTTTCGTGACCATGTGGGGAACATTTTGCTAGAGTCATGCCCTTTGGTCTAAATAACGCTGGGGCAACATACCAAAGAGCCATAGTGATGCTCTTTCATGACATGATGCATAAAGAGATTGAGTTGTATGTAGATGATATGATTGTAAAATCTCGAGAAAGAGAAGATCATGTCACCAACCTCAGAAAGCTATTTGAGAGGTTAAAAAAATTCCAATTCAAGTTAAACTCAGCCAAGTGCACCTTCGGGGCAAGGTCAAGGAAGTAGCTAGGCTTTGTGGTCAATAAAAGAGGGATTGAAGTCGATCCAGACAAAATATGGGCCATTCAAAATTTATCGCCTTTAAACACACCTAAAAAAGTTTAAGGTTTTCTAGATAGATTGAACTGCATTTCTTGATTCATCTCTTAGTTTACCTACAAATGTGATCTCATATTTAAGCTTCTTCGTAAGAATAACCCTGAAGAATGGAATGAGGAGTGTCAAATGGTTTGTGATAAAATTAAGTAATACTTGTCAAATCCTCTAGTATTGGTGCCATCTGTTTCAAAAAGACCTATAATTTTATATCTGATAGTGTGCAAAAATTCAATGGGATGTGTGCTGGGGCAGCAAGATGAGTCTAACCGAAAAGAGAGAGCTATTTACTATTTGAATAAAAAATTCACAGAATACGAGTCCAAGTATTCCTCTTAAGTGAAAATGTATTGTGCATTAGCTTGGACCGTCAAAAGACTAAGACAATATATGCTCCATCATACCACTTGGCTTATAGCAAAATTGGATCCAATTAAATATATATTCAGAAGCCCTTTTTATATGGAAGAATTGCTAGATGGCAAGTAATGTTATCAGAGTATGACATCTTTTATATGAGCCAAAAAAAAGAAGTACTATAGCTGAGTTCCTCGTAGATCGTGCTGTCGAAGATTATGAGTCGATGAGATTAAAATTTTTTTATGAAGATTTGATGACTATTTCCCAGTTGAAAAAGGAGGGGCATGAAGAGAACCATTGGAAAATGTATTTTGATGGAACTACCAATGCCTTGGGACATGGAATTTGGGCAATTTTGATTTCTCCAAAAGAATAATACTACCCTATAACAGCGAGGTTAAATTTTAATTACACAAATAATATTGCTGAATATGAGGCATGTGTTATGGGTTTGCAAGCAACTATATACAAAAAACTAAAGCATTAAAAGTATTTGGAGATTCAGCTCTAGTTATATATCAATTGAAAGAATAATGGGAGACGAGAGATTCAAAACTCATTTTATATTACAAGTATATCCTAGAGTTAATCAAACAGTTTGAAGATATTCAGTTTGATCATTTACCTTGAAAGGAGAATTTGATTGCTGATGCCTTAGCTACTTTAGCAGCAATGGCTTGAATTAATGATAGCGTTGACATTTAGCCTGTCAGGTTAGATGTCAAAGATATACCAACTCACTACTCTAATATGAAAGATGAAAAAAATGAAAAGCCTTGCTATTATGATATTTTACAATGCATTAAGAACTAGCAATACACAATCCAGGCAACTGAGAATGATAAAAGAGTTATCTAAAGACTAGTTATGAGTTTTTCTTAGATGGAGATGTTCTCTACAAAAGAAGCCGTGATCAAGTATTGTTGAGATATGTAGATAAGATCGAGGCTAAAAAAATTATTAAGGAGGTGCATGATGGGATATGTAGGGCACATGCCAATGGACATATGATGGTAAGATAGATCATGAAAGTAGGGTATTATTGGTTGACAATAGAGAGCGACTGCATTGACTATGCTAAAAAAATATCACAAGTGCCAAATCGATGCTAATAAGATTTATGTTCCACCATCTGTTTTGAATGTTTTAGCACTACCTTGGCCATTTTTTTATGTGGGGCATGGATGTTATTGGTCCTATTACCTTAAAGGCTTATAATAGGCATAGGTTTATTTTTGTGATGATAGATTACTTCACAAAATAAATGGAAACAACATTATTTAAAAGTGTGACACGATCTATATTTTGCAAGTTTATAAAGAGAGAAATCATTTACAGATACAGACTTTCAAAGAGAATCATTTCAGACAATGTCAAGAATCTAAATAGCAAGATAATGCAAGAAATATGTGCCTAATACAAGATCAAGCATAATAATTTGGTGCTATACCATCCAAAAATGAATGGTGCAATTAAGGTAGCTAATAAGATTATAAAAAAAATTCTTAAAAAGATGACTAAGACCTATAAGGATTAGTATGAGAAGTTACCATTTGTATTTCATGCATATCAAACATTGGTCATACCTCTACTAGGGTAACCTCATTTTTTTTAGTTTATGAAATAAAAGTTGTATTGCTAGTGGAAATGAAGATCCCATCCTTGAAGGTTCTGAAGGAAGTTGAACTGAAATAGGCTGAATGGATTCGAGAACGCTATGAATAATTAAATCTCATTAAGAAAAAAATATTGACAATATTATGCCATGGTCAGCTATATCAAAGAAGAATGATAAGGTCTTATAATAAAAAGGTTCGACCTCATTGTTTTTGGGAAAAGAGAGTTGGTCTTGAAAATAATTCTCCCAAGTCAGCACAATAATAGAGGAAATGGACTCCGGATTAGGAAGGGTCATATGTCATGAAATGAGCTTTATCAGGTGGAGTATTAATATTAGCTAAAATGGATGGAGATGATTTATGTCATCCTATAAATTTTGATACTGTTAAAAAGTATTATGCTTGAAAAAAAATGAAAAAAATGAAAAAAAAAAGAGAAAAAATGAAAAAAAAAAAGAGGACTTAAGTCGAAAATCTTAAGAGGGCAGTTTGAGTCAAAGATGGTTTATCTAAGTTGAAAACCTGAAAAAATAGCTTAGATAAGGAGAATACAACATTGAATATGAAAGTTCATTGGCAAAAAGGCTAGCATGTTCTGAGGAGCTCTAAGTTGTTAAGTGCATCGAGTGGTTAAGTTTTTTGAAAAGACTTTGAGATATGTTATCATGATTGTCTGATTATTTATTTTTGGGCATTGTCCCCCATACATATCTTTGTAATTCTTTCTTTTCACATTGGCCAAAGTTTGCTATCATTGTTACTAATAAAAGATATTCCACTTCATTCTTTGTGATTATTTCTTAGCCATTCTTTTTTTTTTTTTTCTCTTTAACACCTTACAATGGAAGAAATGTGTGAGTGTGTTCTTACTTTTTGAAATTGAAATAATGATTGATAAATGAGTAATAGCATGAAAGATTTCTGCATTACATTGAAAAGGTTGAAATGATAAAGGCAAATACGAAATGTTTAGTTCTTGATAAGGATATTGAATTTGGAAAGAGATTTCTTGAAAAAAGAAGATGAGAATTAAATGAGAGAAATGATTCAGAGTTACATTGATTTGGCCGGGGCCAAAAAAAGAGCTTGAGAAACTTAATTACCATAATTGAATAGGAATTAATTAACTAGCATTTGCATAGCATGCATTGCATTTCTAAATGTCTAGTGCATAGCATACACTGCATTTGAAAAAGTCTAGTGCAGGGATATTTCAAGATCCCACATGAAAAAGACAGATGTGAAGACTTTTCGATGAAAGCGTTTCAAATTCTCATTTGAGAAAAAGCTTGTAAGGTAAGATTTTAATCCTTGAAAGAGGATATTTCTCAATATTAGATATTTCTCTATATTATGAATGATTTGTAAGACCTTCGAGCATAATCTCCTAAAATTCCTTTAGACATAATCTATGACTCCTCTGGATATGGTTGTCGAGGAGCCTTTAATTTATTTTTTCAAAGTTATGGTGCCTTGGTTTAGGGTAGCAGTTTATTTTTCAAAGTTATAGTGCCTCTATTTAAAGCAGCAATTTATTTTTTTAAAGTTATGGTGCCTTTGTTTAGAGAAGCAATTTATTTTTTCAAAGTTGTGGTGCCTTTGTTTACAAGAGCAATTTATTTTCAAAAGTTGTGGTGCTTTTGTTTAGAGGAGCAATTTATTTTTCAAAGTTGTGGTGCCTCTGTTTAGA